ACAGGACTCTGCATACTCTCACTCCAGCTCTGCCACTGACTCTGTAGCCTTGGGCTGTTTGGCTCAGTCCCCCCTCCACACAAAGGGGGAATAACAATACGTACCTACCTCACAGGGGTGTTGTGAGAATCCACGTTGGTAAAGCCTGTTGAAGTGCTACCACCGGTAGTCACGAAGTGTGTGGTGGGGGTGAGCAGCACTGCCCTTTTGCTGGTTAGAGTCTGAATCACTCAGCAGGAGTCCCATCAGCCTTCTCCTGCTCGGAGATCCTCCTTGATCTGAAGCTGAGGGTGTCGTCTGAGTGCCCTCTCCTCCATTGCATGACATTTTAAGCGGCTGTGAGGTGCAGGGTAGTGACAGACATGAAGTCCTACTTGACCAGGGATTTGCTACAACGTTTTCTATATCTGTGGGGTTTGTTGGTTTGGTTTTTCCATATATTGTGCTTAGAAATAAACTTTCCACTTAGGGCTGGCGGTTCGGGGTCTATTCTGTTGCATGGCAATGTATACAAGTCTTATTGTCTGTCTTACTGTGCAAATGATCCCGCAGCCCAATTTCAGAGATGGGTACGGTCTGAGCCTTTTCATAGCGGCGTAAGACTCAAAAGCCTGTCTAGACTGTTTAATATTTAAACAACACTATGAACTTGTCAATTGTATGTGTTCTGTGCAATACGAAGCATGTCATTAGCTGGCTTGATGGGCAGAGGGGCTAAAGGAAGGTGGAAACTTGTTCAAAGAGCTTCATACACGTGCCAGCATGGAGCCGAAGGGCTGCCACCAGCAAAGCAAACTCGAGGAAGCCATTGGAAACTGTTTTCAGAACAGTTTACTCCAGAACAAGGTACTTCTGAGTTTATGAACTTCTAGGCTGCCAGCCTGAGAGAACAAGTGCAAATTTAGTGGGGGGGTTTGGGGTTTTGAATTTTCTTTAGCTTTCCTCCCCAAAGTATTGATGGCAGAAATACTGATGAGGGTCTCTTCCTTCCATAGCACAGTTCTCTCATCTCCCACAACCTCCTTGTGCCATGCCCTTTGTGCTACTATGCAGGACTTTCAAAGGTGCAAATGGAGACAGTACGCTCCTGAGACATGAAAAGTGTGTTGTGTATTGGGGGATTCTAGCAGACAGAAGAGGTGGAGCAGAGCTATGCTACAGAAGGCATCTCTTCTTCCCCATGTCTTTCCTCTAGTCTTGTCTGCTGGGTCCCTGAAGAGATGTTCCTTGTATTTTGTTACAAAGCTGTTGGATCAGCTTCCACTGACAAACGGAGCTTGCAGAGTTTGGCAGCTGTTTCTCCCAGTGGAGAAAATTCTGGGTCCTATCACTGTAGAGACCCCTCAGTTCTTGGGCTTTGTGGTCCTCCGACGTTATTTGGGGGTGGTCAGTGTGGAGGACTATGTTCAGCTATCATCAGAAATTGTGTGTGTATGGTCCTGCTCATTCTTGTGATTTCTGCCAGTCCCCTGATTTTCTGTTAGGTTTGACAGGTTTTTCTAGTAGTGCTTTTCTGGTTATGCTCTTCAGAGGTGTTTTGCTCTGTGTCAGTTGTCAGTGCTGTTCTTGCCTACTGAAACATCAGTGCTGGCCTCCAGCTTCCACAGCTCTTCCATTCTTGCCATCCTGTCTCTTGGTAAATGCTCATTGCCAAGTTCAAACCCTCTTCCTCTGTGCCTACAATGGATCAAGCACATGCACTAACACAAGGGTCATCAGAGAACACAGGGACCATTATAAGTCTGTCTCAGTAAGTCAGACTCTATAACCATCAATCAATCTTTGATATGTATTTACTTTGCCAATATCAGTGCCTGCTGTTAATTGGTTGCCACAAAAACCGCAATAATGCTTGCCAAACCCATACACCCAGCTAACACTTGGTTTCCAATATAAAGTGTCAGAAATGATGGGGTTTTTTTCCAAGTGAGTCAGGTGTGTTCCCTGTTGCGGTTTCCCAAGCAAGGTGCTGAACAGGTCCATGTCTTACCTTACTATGATGGGCGACCCAAGGAAAGAGCAAGTCAGCAGCATAGATTTGAGTCAAGTTGGCTGTCCCATTTTTACTCAGGGAGACAGGAAAATACTACTCATGCCTGCCAGGTCCCTGACCCTTCTCAAAGCCCTTGATCTGGTAGCAGTAAAACATCAGAGCCAATGTCTGTAGCTGGAGGACAATTCTGAAGAGTTTCCAGTTCTGAAGACCATTCTCTGCCCACACATGGTGGTCAGTTATTCAAGCATCTTCTCTTTGTTTTCCTTGAGAGAAAAAGATTATTTTGAGTAAGCAAAGCACTACTGCTCTTCAGTGTAAGAGGAGGCTGTACCATTAGCACTTCCAACCTGTGGTTCATCCACCAGGGCTCCTGCTCATCTCCTTGTGAGAGCACGTGGTCAGAAGACCTATTCCTTCCGCCTACTACTACATGTCTGTTAAGCACTTGAAGGGGAACAGTCAGCAGTGCAATTGTGTTAGTGACTGCCAGCTGAGCATCTTAATCTCCCCTCT